TATATTGATATAATTTTTATTATTCTGCTTGAATCAAATAAAGATTTATGGAATAAATATAGTCAATAAATTAGTTTCGCATAGTTTTTTTTTTTTTCGTGTCTGTTACGTTTCCATTTACCATATGTTCTGATCATGTTTATAATAATATTGTAAAGGAAATATGTATTTTTTTACACTTATATTTTCCATATAAAATTATCAATAAATTTATAATTGCATGCTGTACATTTTAAAAGCCGTTTCAGGCTTCTTTTATAAGCCCGAGAAAATCACTCAACTTGCTAGGCCTATTTCTTGAAATATGGAAAGAAACGTTTCCACAAATTGATTCCCATGGTACTCTTAAGGCGAAGCTGACACAAGGATTGTGATTTCTTGTTTGTTTTATTTCTATTTTCAATACATTACTGCCAAGACAGAAGTAGGTCAGATGCTAAAATAGATGACTATCTATTTCTAGGTACAAACACGTGCGCTGGAGCGCAGTTCACCATTTTACGTGTGTTCACGTTACCTACTTCATGAAACCAGTAACTTCGAATCGTCTGCGCTGGCTGCTGATCATGTTTATAAAATACAAAAATGAATGGATAGTAAAATATACTAATGTATAATGTGTAATGTGTAATGTAAATAAATATTTATAAATTATATATAATAGTATATTATGTGTAAATATATATATATATATGTATGTGTATATAGGCCTATATATATATATATATATATATATATATAGTTGTTTTTAGGTATATCCTATATGCTTATATAATATATATATATATATATATATATATATATATTCATATTTATGAACTGCGCAGGGACATCAAAGAAAACTAAAGATTTCAAGTGAAGAATGATAATGTGTGTATTATTCGTTTATTTCTTTAATTGTGTTTCCCTCAAATCTCTTGGCATGTTTTATCCAAACTCTGGAAGCTGCAAGAAAAATAAATAAATTTATTGTATAGAAACATCGGATTAAATAATGTAATGATTATAGATGGTAACAACATTCAATTCATTCAATTAAAATCAAAGATAGATTTTATTGACCATAACTATTATATTATAATATATGAAAACGCAACAAAAATAATAGCATGAAGCACATACTAAACTCCATTGTTTCAATCATAAGATCATGTTTCAATCATGAATATATCACCGTAAATGAAAGAAAGAAAATATGTTAGTAGAAAGATAGCAAAACGGAAATTAAAAAAAATACTTAGGCCTATGATAAACCGATTGACGAACTAATTATAATTACAGTATATAGGGCCTAGGCATATTAAATAAATAAATTTATTGTATAGAAACATCGGATTAGATAATGTAATGATTATAGATGGTAACAACATTCAATTCATTCAATTAAAATCAAAGATAGATTTTATTGACCATAACTATTAAATTATAATATATGAAAACGCAACAAAAAGAATAGCATGAAGCACATACTAAACTTCATTGTTTCAATCATAAGATCATGTTTCAATCATGAATATATCACCGTAAATGAAAGAAAGAAAATATGTTAGTAGAAAGATAGCAAAACGGAAATTAAAAAAAAATACTTAGGCCTATGATAAACCGATTGACGCTCCATATATTTGTTCGAAATAAACCGCGACCGAAAGGAGGCGCGACCGAAATGAAGCGCGACCGAAATGATCGGCTACCACTAATAATACTATAGGCCTAGTTATAGGCCTGGTCCTATGAAAAACTTTCTAGGCCTAAATGTCAAAAAACTGCACTGTCTAAATAAAGGTGATGTGCTATAACACTACAGTATATCATCAGAGCCAACACTAATTCCTGTAACAATAAGATTATTATTTATATACTGTACTGTAGTAGGCCTAGAAGCTAGGCTACACAACAATAACGCCTCAATAACATGATGCATATGTTACTCCAAACCTAACTTTCAGCTGTTGTTGAAATGTGGAATTCAAATAAAATATATACAGTATATATATTTTTGTAGGACAAGATATGTGATATGCCGAAACATAACTCTGGTCACATAGGTATTTGCCAGTTGCCATCATGAGACAAACATACCACAACATTTGCCATGAGTACAACCACCCAACATTGGCATCTACGAAAGAAGGTGGTACAAAGCATGCAAGCACCCAGCAAGATGTTGAAAAGAAACACTCTGGTTGTTTGCTGAAACTTTTAATGAAAGCTACACACAATTTAAGGTGAGCAAAAGAAAATTAAGTGAATATCTCATCACTGTTCAGCCAGAGTACATGAAACAATATTGGAATGGTGTGTCAGTTTTATTAAGAAACAACAATATTACATTACACACTAGCAGACAGGAAGGCTTCATTCAAGTAATTAAAAAATCTGAAAATACTGTCAATTGATGAATGTCTTTCCAGATTAGTACATACAGTATCTCAGTATGGTATGTTATTGATAAAGCAGCAAATGCAAATGTTTGATAACATTTTTGATTTTTTAACAAACCTGGTTTTGCATTATTGTAACTACTGTATACTTATTTCTCAATAGGAGCAAATGACTGGCTCCAATGGATGTGATGCAACAAATGACTGGATCAGATGGATGTGATGCAAACAGTTCCATCTGTGTGGACATGATGAAATGGACATGTCCAATCCATGGTTAGCAGAAGGTGGCGATGCTCAGAGCTCTGCAGCAAGTGATTGAGGCCAAAATATTTCAAAAGTATTAAATTAAAATGATTTATCTAGTGATTTTTTTTCTGAAGATATACTGAAATGCGACACACTTAATTTTTTGTTTTTTGCGCATCTGGTTTGTATTGCATGCCAAATTTATAATAAATAAATAATTACTGTACCAGTATTACTGTACCTGTTTCACTTGCAAAATATCTTTAATATTATTAAATGGTATTATAATCCCATTCAATAGTAATCCTTTTGAAGCAAATATGTGACCGAGATTTAGAAAACAAATTGTGAGGATTAATTTTGAAATATGTAATAGTAGAGTCATTTTCATGAGATCCGTGACTAATTTTAGGATACCTTTGTTTCTCGATGCATTTGGCAAGATGGACCAATTTAGATAAAATATAGGTCCTATATACCTCCCAGCAAGGTAATTCAACAAAAGGACGCACATCTCGGGACATCAAAGGTTATAACTCTGGCATCGACATTCTAGGCGCACGTGCGTC